GACCGCCTTTTAAATTTAAAAACGGCAATTTTTTGCATTCGCCTGACCTACTAATTATTGAAACATACGGTATCATTAATTGCCAAATTACGATAACGCTATGTTCTACCCATTTAGATATGTCGAGTGCTTAAAGAAATTCAAATAAAAAAGTCTTGCATTTTTTATATCAAAAATTAAAGAAATGGTATAATTTTGAGTTGCAGGATCTTATGAATAATAATGAGAAGTAAATCACGTGGGATTAACCTCATGAATAAACTGCACGTCATTTCTCCATATTGGGATCATACATTTGGAAATATCCATACACTGCAGATTTGTAAATTTTTCCTCTGCATCTCACTATTCTACAACTGAATGATGGCGCAGCTGTAAGTTAAAAGTCAAAATCCCGATCCAAAATGGCGGATATTAATCTTTTTTTTTAATTATTTCTTATTTTTGTTTTCATAGGAGAAAGGATTTGTGAATATCTTACTGAGCATAGAACAACAATGTAAAAGCTAGCAGAACACTAATTTGATCACTTTAAATCGGAAAATTTAGTCTTTTAAAGAAATGTTTTTACTAGCTCAAAATGGCGATTCAAAAGGACGTCGGATACTCTCGAATTTCGTTGAAACTGCTTATTTTTGGTTCGTTTTGCAGAAAATAAATTGCAGCTTGTTTTTAATAAATATAGTATATTGATATGAACAAAATATACTTGAAAAGATTCATTTTTTCTGGAGATAGTTAACTCGACTTAAGAGTTTCCAAATTTTCCTCTTCGTTTTTGTCCGTACGTGTTCCAAAGCCTTTGAGCCCCGTCCACCTAAAATCACTCCCGAATCCTGTCATTATAAACTAGCACTTCTACTTCAAGATCCCTCGGCGATCCATCAAATATAACAGAAGAAATTCTTGTCCGATTTTATCGAACACTTTGTTCTAGCTTTTTAGCACTTATAAGAACTTAGTATTATCCCCTAACATCTTCTATTCCAGCTTTATTTGTTATATACATGTATTTCAGTCTGTCTTCGGAATTTTGGTATTTTCAACACTCAAGTAAAATGGTGCCCATGTCAAGGATTATTTAAACTGATAGTCCGCCGAAACATGACTGAAAAATTGCCGACTCGGTGTTAAACAATTTATAATCAATTGATTGATTGATTGTATATTGTTTAACGTCCCTTTCGAGAATTTTTCACTCATATGTAGACGCCACCACTTGTCGGTGGAGGGCTACAAATTTTGTCCTATGCTCGGCACTCAGGGCCTTTGAGCAGTGAGGGATCTTTTTCGTGCCAGCACCTACTGCGATACAGGGCCTCGGTTTATACGGTATCATCCGAAAGACCGGTCATCACGTCCCGCAGTGGGATTCGAACCCGCGACGTTAGGATTGACTCCTTACTTCGCGACTCTAGAGCAGAAGTTCCAACCACTGCACCACGTGGGCGACTCAATTTACAATCTATAAACCAACACTCAAGGAACAACACATTTATGTTCAAATATTAAAAGTCTATTGTTTTCCAAACCCATATGCAAAATCAGCTAGAGGTACTGTGAGCAATTAGCTCACTAAATATTAACCCGGTCTCCCATATGATTATAATGACAGTGTCCATGTTTTGCTATGGAAAACCCAAAATATGTGTCGGATCAAAAAGTGAAATTGGAGGTCACAATGACAATATGCAGTAAAGATTCTGTGAAAGTTTCAGCAAATTTCATTCTGCGGCATGAAAGAAGTTGCGGATAAGAGATTGGTACCCCAAAGCGTAACAGAAGAACGGCGGACATACCGATTACTCTTAACCCTCCCGCTTATTAAGCGGAGGGTATTAAAAAAATCTCTGATATTCAAGACATGTAGCACTTTATTTTGTGACCTCGTATAGATTTGTGGTCTTTTAGGGTAGAAAGGTCATTCTATTATAAGAAAATTCGCAAACTTGATCACCTGAAATCACATTGTGTAATATATTTTGGTGAGAAAAGTTCTAAAATTATGCAATTTAAGAGAGCCTGCAGTTTCCTCGTGATTCCTATAACTTGCAAGCTTTCGTACCAAGAGGCTTAAGTCATTCCTGATTTCGATCTAGACAACACTTCTCTTGACAACAAAATTTTCTTAAACACTAGTCTTCAAGAACTTTACAAGGCAACTTGATCCACACTTCTTTAGTGTAAGGTTGTATCAAGAGTCGAGGGAGAATTGAACATAAATATTTTCTTTCAGTTTTCGTAAATTTCAAAATTTTTAAATTAATATACACTGTTTAATACAAAATTATCCGTTCACAGCATGAAGTATTTAAGAATGCAGTTGAATTTTTGACTTGAATAACAAAATGTAAATGTAGGGACACAGAATCAGAGCTGGACAATCAAGGAGATTTATGATTTACGTATATTATACTGATAATTCATAATATATATATGTTTATACTTGGATATTATAATATATTCAGATTTATATGATGTAACAATTACTAGCCCTATAATTGGTCGTGGTCAATCATTTTGAAAATCATACTTAGTTATGTTGCACTAGACCTTGAACATGAACGTAAACAGTTATTTTTTCTACACTGGACTAAAATAGATCAAGAATTTCCAACAAATGCATGAATGTTCACTCGCTTTAACGCTCGGGAGATATTGCTCTTGTGGTAGCTTTATTTTCATATTGTCCTCAAAACAGCAATTATTGTATGATATTATTAACTTTTTATATGCAGATCTAGAAGCATGGTGAGACAGGTAAAAGGTAAAATGTCTTCGGAATTACCGTCAAAAATTTATCTTAACAATAGAAGTAATTAAACAAAAATCCGTGTAATAAAAATCCTAAGTCATTAACAAAAATATCCTCCAACTTTCACTGCATACTTGAACATTATTTCATGAATTAAAAAAACTTTAATTTATTTTCTGCAAAACGAACAAGAATTAATCAGCTTGGGTATTTAACGAAATTCGCGTGTATAAGACGTCATTTGATTTGCCATTTTGAGCTAATTAACACATTTCAAATTTAACGACTAAATTTTTCGAATTAAAGTGATCAAATTAGTGTTCTGTTGGCCTTTTACATTTTTGTACTACGCTCAGTAAGATATTCACAAATCCTTTCTTCTATATAAACGACATTAAGAGATAATTTTTAAAAAAGATGAATATCCACCATTTTGACTTTTAACTTACAGCTGTGCCATCATTCAGTTGTAGAATAGTGAGATGCAGAAGAAAAAATACAAATCTGCAGTGTATGGATGTTTGCAAATGTAAAATCCTTAACAAAGCGGAATATAGAACAATGGACCAAAAAACAGAGAAAATTCAAATTAAGTGTACAAACGACTAAATTTTTTTGAGTTAAGGTAAGTCACTCGTCAGCTTTTAGGAAATGTTCACGCAGAAACTTTTACTTCAAAACTACTTATTAAAATAAAATTTTTATAACATATTCAAATTCAACAATGTAAATTTTTTAACATTCAATGAAAAAACTGCTCAAAAAATCTACAAAGAAACAAGATTTATGAGGGACTATTTCTTTTGGTGGAAGGATATTTAGCATAAAATTCTGCAAATCTGCACATTTATAAAATTTAGTGTAATGGAAATTTAGCCTCACATACTTTTACTCGGAGAATATTTTCCGTTTTGATATTGCTAAAAATATTTAATATAGGTCTTTATTTATATTTTTAGACTAAGTTTTACACCCTCCCTCAAAAAACTTTTCCAAAAAACTTTTCCAAAAAATGAAAATATATGAAAGAAGTCGAGATCAAATTTACACCATTTTTTGCCTGAAAATCACATATTTTGACAAATATTTCAAAATTAACATCACTGACCCCACCTTTTTATATCATTATTTCAAACTACTCGATACTTGTGACTGATCAGCACTTAAGTCGTAAAAAGTTTGATATTAAAAAACATTTTATTGCCTATTAAGTTTTTTAATACCCAAAATATGTTATTTTTTAGTGCAAAAAGGTCACACAATAATTTACGCGCATCAATTTGCAAGATTTGTTTTATGATAAATATTATTCAAACTATTTTATGTGAAATAAGATTATATTTATTGCCATGCTTACATCTGATAAAATATAATAAGGGTTAATGTAATTAACCAAAGAGATGAAATTTAAGTGCAAAAAGGTCAACTTAAATGTACCGTAGATAAACACTGACCCCCTATTTTCTTTGCGATTGACCCCCTATTTTCTTTTAAAATTTTGAGTTACACTTTAAGAGTACTTATCCAAAGTATACTTCTCAAAAAATCCTTGATATAACAAATTTCAGGAGTGACTTACCTTAAACTAATAATGTTAGAATTCTATTATCATTTTTTAGACTTGTATTACACTCAATTAGATATTCTTCATTAATTCTCCAGTTTGAAGGACATTAAGACAAAATTAGAAAAATTGGTTGTCCGCCATTTTGAATCGCCATTTTGACCTTTTTAACGCCATTTTCATGAAGGCCAGCATATTTTTTTTCGGATTCAGCATACTGAAAATAGGCTAAATATCCTGGACCAAATAATAAGTATTTGCCGTTTTTCAAAATCAGGACCAGACTTCTATACTCCCGTGGGTCATGATTTGAACAATTTGAATGTACACTATCTTAGGATGCCTCCACCTACGTTTCATCTTTCCTGGACCAGTGGTTCTTGAGAAAAAGAATCTTAAAATATGCCATTAATTTTTCACTAGTTCATAATTATCTCCCCTTCACAAGAAGAAACTTGAATCACCATTACCTTAGGATACTTTGTGGCAAGTTTGGTTGAAATTGGCCCTGTGGTTTTTGAGAAAATGATTAAATGTTTACAAGGACGACGACGACAGTAACAACGACAACGACAACAAACGACAGGCAAAAGACAAACTTTGATCAGAATGGCTCACTTCAGCCTTCAACTCAGATTAGCTAAAAAGTATGTCAAATTGCTAGGTAGGATAACATATACGTACTGAAACAATTTTGGCAACTTCCAGAACAGCAGAAGTGTAACAATCGTCAAGATTGCAATGCATACAATAATTATTGTTTGGATCCTGTTGGAAGAAAAGAAATGCTTTTTGAAGTGCTCAGGCCAAATAGCTGAACTAAACATTTGGTTAGAGTACAACAGAAACAAGACCGTGCTAAAAAGCTAAAATATTTTGATCTCACTGTACACCTGCACAAGGGCTGATAATTTAAAAAAAAAATGCTTTCATATTCGATCATACGACATATCAAGACCTGGTTGTTCTTGAGAAAACACTTTCAAAGAACATTCGTCTATAATTTCATGTCAAACGTCCGTTTCTATCTTGACTTAACCCTAGGGGATCAACTCAACTCCCTCTTTCCTGAAGATGCTTCTCTATACATTCATGTACAAACGTGGGTTGTCCATAAACTTCGTAGACAATTACTTTTATTTTCTTTATAAAGTCCACACTGACAAACGTGTACAATAATACCGGTATTTTAATAGAAACCTTGATATACATGTAATAGAAATATATAAATTAGAACAATACACTATAACAATTGTTATAGGCATATGCAAGCCGCACTGCCAATTCTAAAGTAATTATTATACTGCTAAACATTTGTATGTTTTTTTTAATTTTAAATACATGTTCAGGGACGTACCTGTACATGTACATATATATTGTTTTTATTATGCCGTACTAGTGCTAGCAATATTTTTATGTACAGGTTAAATTGGATTAAATTTTTAAAACTCAGAACAATACACAGTAATTTAAAAACGTTATCAATTTAAACAGATCTTATGTATACACAAGCTGCACAGCCTATGGCCAGTTCTACGTTGAGCTAGATTTATTGTGATTTAACAACTCGAAAAACAATCATTTATTAAAGTGTCACTAAGGATCAAACAAAATGTAAAAGAGGTAAGATGTTTGGGTTTTTTTTTTTCAGAGATATTTTTTCCAACTGCTCCATCGTCTTTCATGAAATTCGTTGTCGCCCGTGTGGCGCAATGGTTAGAACGTCTGCTCTAGAGTCGCAAAGTAAATAGTTGATCTTTACGTTGCGGGTTTGAATCCCACTGTGGGACGTGGAGACCGGTCCTTCGGATAAGACCGTATAAAGACCGTATAAACCGAGGTCCCGTGTCGCAGTAGGTGCTGGCATGAAAAAGATCCCTCCCTGCTCAATGGCCCTGGATGCCGAGTGAAGGACAAAATTTGCAGCTCTCAACGGCAAGTGATGGCGTCTCCATATGTGTGAAAAATTCTGAGAGGGACGTTAAACAATATACAATCAATCAATCTTTTTTAATGTTTTGTGTAGCGCAGAATGATGGCACTCATCTAGCTCGACTAACCAGAAACTAGTAGAAACACAGGCCAGTTGTAACTATCATTATTTAACAAACAGTTACAACAAGATATGCTGAGCAGCAGGCAGAGTCCAGCAGACCCCAAGGCCCAAAATGTACTGCAAGCAACCATGACCTCAAAGAAACGGAGTCCAGGTACAGAACCCGGCTTTATAAACGATTGTTGTCTTGCTTTATCATTAAGTTATAATAACGTTTTGGCAAAGAAGTGCCAAATAGATTAAAACTAAAAATGTAAATGGCGACTACATAAATTTGGGCCTTTTGATCGAAAATGTACACGGGTTTGACCCAAATGGCGTGACACAATAGTTTTCTTTGAAAGATGGCTGACTGGGCTTGGCCTCAAAATCGAAAGCAAACGTAATTATTGACACTCAAGGATGGAAGTTCATTCTTTTCATTTATGCATTCAAATATGCCTCATCCTATCCCGAGAGGAGGGTTCAATTATTTAAATATATTCATATGCATAAAAATAGGTCATATTAGAAGAAAGAAGAGTAAAGACACTCGGGTTGTACATGTATGACTATGATATTCAGTTTGAGGTGAAGAACGGAACTAACCCATCCATGTACAGTGCTCCTAGCACCAAGATTTCCTGAAAACTGATCAAAAGGAGAGGGGAACAACAGTTTTACTAATAGCCACCCTTCAGTCAATATGCCCTGTACTCCCGCTTCTATAGCCATAGAAAAATTTAGGTTAACAAAGTCAGCTTACAAAACTCATTTCTTTCGCATAGGTGCAGCCTCCACTGCTTGGACCAACGGATCTAGCAAAAAAATATTGCCTGTATATGTAGAGGTAGATCTCAGTACAAGTGCATTAGGGATTAAAATGTAATTAGATTAAGCCTTATAATATCGGTATCTTTTTATCGGTGTTAAAAGAAAAAGAATCATTGAATCTTTCATAGTTAAAAATGCATTATATTCCTGCAAAATATCACTATTTGGCACCAAAGTAGAGTTAGAGCGACATATTGCTACCATATTCTAGCGAGGCAAAGCTGGTACATTGTATGAAGTTTGAAGAGATCTTACCCAATTAGAATATTACTCAAGGCAAATACTTCGCATATATGCAAATGATTCATTGCGAGGGTAATATACATGTAACATTCAATGGTATAGCGGGGGTCATCAGTTGATTTACGTTTCAAATAAAAAGACTTATTCTAAAATTGGCAAAATTTTTACAATCTATAGTATTAATTTGGCTACAAATACTGCCACGTGTTCATTGGAGGGTGGGTATTAATATCTCTGCTATGAAGAGGATAAAAGTCCGAGTAAACAGCAATATGTCTACCTACTTATTAATATCAGAGGGAAGTACGTCAGGTAAACAGATTCGCATATGGTCAACTCTGGCATGTTATTTTAAAGATATATTCAACTTTTCTTATATGGGTAATAACTTGTTTCTGTATAGATTATAAGATTGTAACAGGTGTTGCAAACATTTTTGATGAAAGACCAGTAAAAGTGTATATAAGAACTAAGGAAAATTGGCCATGGTTGCGCCAAGACTTATGACTTAAATTTAAGTCTTGGTCACTTGTTCCTTAATTTTGATTTTCTCACTGTCCAAAGACTATTGAGGGTCTGTGCAATTCTGCTGATATATACCATGTAATTTTCTTGGTAATTCTGTAAGATGACACACAGTTATTATCGGCCGCCAGCTTTATTTCATGAAATTCGTCATACATATAGAATTCTGTTATGCGTTGGTCTAACCATCAAAGCATTCTGTGTAAATGCCTCGAATAATTAGAGCATTAACAAATCAAAATGGAATTTAAACAACATTTGTATAATAATTTACGCTCTGCGTAAAAAGGTATTATCTTTTGCAACAAAATGGGAATGGTTCTAAGATACTTACGGTTCTAAAAGTTTTGAAAATCTCTCTAAACTAGTACTACGGCTCAAGGGTAGTAATCCAGTTGAAACACTTGTTGGTTGCATTTGTGTAGTGACATTAATATCGCCATACTTTATTCCTTGTATTACTATATCGTTGTTGCTGTGATTGTAGCAGTTCTTGTCTGAAAAGAAACATCAAAACATATATAAAGGGAAATACATATGTAATCACATATATAATCAAACCCGATTCTAACCTTTTTTGTTTTTGTTCTGCTTGTTTTCAGAACAGTGCCTCTAAATTTTATTTTTTATATTTATACAAGAAATTACAAATAAAATCTTTCTTAACTCTACCTGGAAAACAAATTGTAACAAAATGAATTAAATTGTTCCTTTCAGTGTATCATCGAAATTTGATAACCCGCTTTAGCCCAGATGTAACTCTAATTTCTTGGTAATTTATAGAAAATACTTAAATAAACCCTATGTAGCAGTGTTTGAGTATTTGTACAAGTACTAATACTCTGGTGGAAAGTTGATTGCCACTTCATCGTAGGACCTAATTCCATCTCTGCATCACCTCACCTCTATGTTTGTTGTGCTCACAGTTTGTATAGGTATCCTACAGGTTTGTTTTGTATTCTTCTTTATACGGTGCTCCGTGCAAGGTGATTATTTGGATGTTATGTGATTGCCTTGTGGACTATTGTTTTAGTGTGTCCTTGGTGAGAGTGAAAGAGCAAGCATGAATGGGGTATGGCAGTCATGTGTCCATGTGTGATTCCTGCATATAATATTATGTACAAGCTATTTCTTTTTACTCCTGGCGTAACTTTTAATTGGATGTTTTCCTGCGAGAAATCATTCTATTGAAATTCGCTCCTCGGCTTTTCAACTGATTTTATCTTGACCTCGACTTGAAATATTAAACATAATATTTTAATTCTTACATGTACAATAAATTTAGATTTTATAATGCAAATTAAGCAATATTCAATTTAAACCCCGTGATTACATTAATTTCATACTGAGAACATTCAGAGAGGAACTACATTTTATGGCAAAAGATTTTACTAATTGAAAAAGATAGATTTTTCCTCTTTCAAAACATTCAATATTGTAAGCTTTGAATTTTTATTTTAACATGCAGACAGCAGAGTAATTTGCGCAGTAAAATGTTCTATCCTGGTCCTAATTTGTATATTAAACTACTGTGGTTTAACAATTTTCGTATATTTTGTTTACGAGGATACAAAATGTCGTGAACAATATAATTACGAATACAAATAAACAATCAACATTTGAATTCCTGGATCTTTTCAACAATAAAATCCTCAACAATTGGTGTTCAACAAATATTGATAAAACCACATTAACAGTCAGGAAATCTATCATCATTTATGGCTAATATATCAATTATATTATAACAGTCTTTAAAAAGAATTAGCTTAGCACTATTTTAGTAATATACAAAATTTAACATCATAGACCCCAACTTTTATTTCATTTTCTGAATAGGCCCCTACATTAAAAACAAAAGTAACCAGACCTCTTAATTTTGAAATAAATTCATTACTTTCAAATGATTTTATTACATTTTAAATTTTTAACACCTAAAAAACATCACATTTTTGAGTGCTTAAAGGTACAACGATTGAATTTGCGAAGTTATTTGAAATTATTTTTGTTGTCACAATTTTAAATGTGACTATTCTTATACCTGCTTAAACTATTATCTCAAGAGACTGCAATTTCAAACAAAGATAACATATTGAAATTAAAATCTAGCTCAAAATAAAATGTATATTTTTACGGCATTTTCAGCCTTCGGACAGCCTTATAATATTTGAGTAGCTTTTCCTTTTTATTCTAATATAAGTTTTCCCTTAGCCTAAGGAAAGTGTCATGATCTTTGCAAATATAAATTTACTGACATGTAGTTTCCAATTTACTATCCCGGCGGTTTTTGATTTTAATACTTTTTTGTACTTTTTCTTTCTAATTCCATTATTGAAAAAAGAAGATTTGAATTTAAGACATGCTTTTCTTCACTCAAGATTACTTTATGTCAGTTTTATTGAAATCTGCGGAGTCTCTTTTGATGAACCAGAAATCAATCAGACAATCATAACACTTACGACTGACAACTGACAAATCTTCATTGGGCAATTTAGCTTGAGCTTTCAACTTATGAGGCTGCGATATTCTAGCAGCATATGTGTTGAAGTCCATTTCAGTAAAGTCATTTTATGGAATGTGTGATGTACAGATACGACAAGTTTCACAAATTAAAAAAAACAGACAGTAGAAAAGTTTTGCATACAGAGATAGGCCTTAGATGATTCGTAACGACTGCCGCAGGATGGCTTAAATGATGAGCAGTCTAAATAGGGATTAGCAATTATTTCGCAAGCCTCTTCATTGAACTCTGCACAAAACCCTGATGAATAAAAAAAACATATGAAATTCAGGGGGATTATTTTTGATGTTGGAAGAGACTAATAAATTAATGCACTCAGCGAATTGCAAAATAATTGTGGATGATGGTACTTGCCATTTATTTTTTTCTCTGGTGCACACACCTCAATCGTCTGGTTGCCATGCGAATTAAGGACGCAGTGATATCGGATTTTTGTGCAGTTTGTGCAGTTGTTGAGTTGAGAATTTTCTATTTTGTTTTGGCAGTTTTTATTTTTGTTTTCTATTTCTGTTTCATTCAAAGGACAAAATTGTACAATTTTCACTGTTTCCTTCACAAGTTTACAAAATCCTTTGTCACAAATGATGCGTTCCTTTAAAATAAATACAGCATTAAATGAATGAAAATCGTTTGAAGGTAAACAAAATTATTTTATGCTATATATTGTTGTACCTTTTGTACTTCTGCTTTACTAATACCACGAACATGTTTCATAATAAAGTTTCCATGAAAAAAAAAATATTCTGAACCAGAAGTCTCTGAAGAGACTTTCACTTTACTGGTTGGTACAATGGAAGAAAAAAAAATGCCCTTGGACTTCAAACTACGCAACAATAATAAATAGAATAATGATCTTTTGTGGCAAGAGATGAAAACATTTTAATCAGATTAGACTGTACAAGGGGGATATTTAAAAATTTTTTTTTAAATCCTTTTTTATTTCATTTAATTTTCTTTTGTAAAAATACCATCACTAATAAATGAATAAAAAAAGAAGAAAACTAGATATCTTAGTGCAGTCTATTAGCTTGAAAAGTGATACCCAGTATATAAGTTGGACCCAATATGTAGGATGAGTAGCATTTTGAAAAAAAAATTGACAGATAGTTACATTGAAAAAAAATTGCAATGTCGACAATTTTGAAAAACTGATGTAAAAACTTATTTTCTCAATGTAGCTTACTTTTGGAACATATAATATTTAAATCAGAAAAAATCTGTAGAAGGAGAAGGGATAGGTTTGAAAGTAATTCACATACATGTATATTTCCATTTTTAAAAACCATGACAAACCAGTTCATTGGAATCAAATTTGAATTACATCTGCAATAAACCAAGGTGGTAATCTCTCTGATAGAATTAACATTCAGAGGGGCTGCAGGCAAGGTGACCCTTTGTCACCATATATATTTATTATATGTGCAGAAATTTCAGCAATTCAAATTAGATTAAATAAAAATATTAAATGTATTTCTGTAAACAATGTTGAAAAATAATTTTTCAGTTAGCGGATGATACATCAATTATTCTTGATGGTAGTAAAACGTCCCTCACAGAAACATTGCAAACACTGAAGATTTTTTCAGAAATGTCTTAATGACAAATCAAATATTTCAAAACTCAAATAGTTTGGATAGGCTCAAAAAAAGTTTAGTGATAAAATTTTGCTGCCAAATTACAAACCTAACTGGGGAACTACCAGATTTACTCTTCTCGAAATACATTTTGATGTAGATTTGGATAAAATATTATCATTAAACTATGAACCAAAACTGGTACATATCAAATCAATACTTAAACAATGGGAGTAAAGGTATTTAACTCCCATAGGGAAAATTACAGTTATTAAAACATTAGTTCTACCATTACTAAATCATACTTTAATGTCCATCCCGAATCCTACTGAATCGTTCTGGAAGGAACTGGAAAAACTGTTTTTTCTCATTTATATGGAATAATTCAACCCATAGGGTAAAGAAAGAAGTAATTATGAAAAAATATGAAGAGGGGGGTTTGAAAATTTTAAATCTGACATCTTTCACAGCCTCCATGAAATTATTTTGGATAAGAAATCTAATCTTAACAAATAGGGGGTTGGAACACCTCATTCCTAAATTTAATTTAAACAAATTTATAAGTTATGGAATTAAATATACTGCAACTTTTTTAAAAACATTGAAAAATAAATTTTGGATAGATGTTTTTAAGTCCTGGATAATGTTCAATCCACATTTGCATATCGGTGGAAAACCATTTTATAATAAACAAATGTTTGACAGCAACATTAGACAAATTAATGATATTATTAATGAGGGTGGTTCATTATTTTCTTATGAGCATTTCTGCAACACCTATCCAAATATAAAGATTAATTTCTTAGAATTCAGTAGTATTATTGAATGCTATAGAGGATTGGATGAAAAACTCTGGTCAGGAAAAAACAATTAAAAAAAAGCTCACTAATCCCATAATAATGTCATATATCTACAGAGTAATGAAATGTAGAAAATTCAAATGCTATTATGAAATCCTTATTCAAAATTTTTCTGTCACAGCAGGCTAAACGTATTGGAGTGAGCTTTTAGAAGTTGGAACTCAGGAATGGAAAAAAAATCACACGATGCCCTTTAGTGTAACAAAAGACTGTAGACTCCAATGGTTTCAATATAGAATTTTAAACAACATCTTAGCAACAAATTCATTTTTATTCAAAATTTAAACAAAAAATGACTGTAAATTATTCAGTTTTTGTCATACTGAGGATGAAACAATAGAACACCTTCTACGGGAATGTGATACTTCAAAATTTTTTCTTGAATAATTTGTGCTTTTGTTTGAAGATAAAACTGGTCTAATGATAAATGTTACTAAAAAATCTTTTATTTTAGGATTGATTGAGGAAAATACTGATATTCAAAATGCTATTCTTCTTTGACTTAAATACTATATTTATACTGCAAGGTGCACAAAAAAACCTATTAATGTACAAAATTGCAATATCACAAATATAATTTCATTATGAAACACAAAAAAATTATCTCTTATAAGAATGGTAAAAAGGAAAATTTTGATACCCAGTGGAACAGATGGAATCTGCTATTTTCTTTACTAGAACCTTTACACTCTCTCTCTCTCTCTCTCTCTCTCTCTCTCTCTCTCTCTCTCTCTCTCTTGCTCTTTTTTTTCAATAAAAAAACATCTTTTCTGTTTCTTTTGAAATATATATATAATGCTGTATGTTGTGTGAATAAAAAAAAAATTTAAAAAAAATTAAAAAAAAAAAAATTAAATTACATATTCATCTATTGTGTAGTCTATATCTTTGTCATATTGTAATGAAACTGCCGTTTCGAGGAAAATAGCTGCTGTGGAAAACTAGGGTTATGGGTCTCTTTTTACTGTGGGAGGCGCAGTAAATGACGTCATCATATGGAAAAATATAGGATCACGATTGACCAGAACTGACAAATCACATGACAGTAATTGATTAATATATATATTATACTTTTATCGTGATTCAATTTATTTTTTTTTTCATTTATAAACATTTGGGGAAAATAAAAACAATTACATTTTTACTAAAGACTAATGATGAACGTATTGAAATAAACATTATACATTTACATTGAGACGGTGTTGAATGGTGAATTTATGAAATGGTTCACTTATATCATTCAAGCCAAAGGTAATAAGAAAAATCAAAAACAAAATTATCGATTAAATGTGAGCATTTAAATCTGACATGTAATGTATGAACGATCATTTTACATAATTATATTTATTCAGTTTTCAGATAAACTCGGTGTCTTCTTTTTCAATATTTACAGAAGACATGTGCTCTATATTTTACATTGATTAATATATAAGAACAATAATTAAGTCGTACTTATTTTTTACATAAAGTCTCCGTTTCTAAATTAATAGATAACAATGAATAGGATTTGAAAAAAAGATTTGTTTTTCTTTGTTTATTTAGTTTCATACTGTGTGTGTGAGTTCACCTTGACCTTGTAGGGAGAGGGTTAAATAGGCTTTTTCTTCTGCCCAATCCCATTCACATTGTGAATTAAATTTTGTAAAGATAAAAAAGAAGAACTAAGTTTCAATTCATGTACAAAAACTCATGTAAGGAGATACATTAAAGGAAACTGTTTTAGTTGAAGCATTACTAATGTTTAAGTTGGAATATATAAATCAATAATACCCGCTGTTTTTTACGCATGGTAAATGCTTGTATAAAAAACTGTTAACAAAAGAAGAAAGGATATAATGTATAAGGAGCACCAAAAAGGAAAATGTAATCATACTGAACAGTAATATATTACCCAATTAAATCGAATGTTATCTTTAGTTTCTGAAATCCATAAGGTATAAATCAACATTTTTCTTGCTTATTTATCATAAAAATTACAGGTGTTGAGAAGAAATATTTTGACTAACAACATGAAAATTACAAGAAAACAATAAAATGCAATCATATGAGCTACTAAAAAGACAAATACAATCCATATGATACCTAAAAATAATGTGAATCACAGATATTTAAAACACAATGCTATCACAAAATATTGAAAACATCACATAGCCCTTGTCTATTCCTTGCTCGTGTTTAAATGTTACAGTAGAGTAAACAAATTTACTATAACATATATTACGTTCTTACGGTTGCTCTTAAACGATTAAAGTAGTGCTCGTCTCATTTTCTAAAATATGAGTTTAAAGCTTCGATGACAAAAAACTAGTATTATTTCTAATATTCTATGAATAATTAAAATTGATTAAACATAAATTTAAGGGCCTATCTATACTCACAAAAGATAGACTACGTGTTAAAACGAGTATACATGTTAATGTAACAAACATTTCAAAGAATATTGTAAAGTCATGAAACGTCAAATGCAAATAACATGTAACAACTTTTATCTCATATTTTCACCTTTATCCCATTGATATAGCTCATGTGATATCGTTTTCATATCCTACGCCGTGTGATGTATTGTGAATAAACAAATTCCTGTGCATGATGGAGAGAAAGACTTAATTTGTCAAATTTCACTTTTTTGATATATTTGATATATTTTCATTCATGAATTAAAAAATATAAGTGCTGAAATACCATTCTTTCTTTTATTTTTATACGAACTATTTCATACAGCGTAATATAATTTATTACGTTAATCGGTCCGAGGTAATTGAAAGGGAACTTTGATGTAGAAATAAAGACAAAATACAAATTTATAG